GCATCCCTCGCCATAAAAGACGATGTCGCTATAACTCCTATGAAAATGTTCAAAAAGTGCTCAAACTTCACGTGTGCTAACAGTCCAGCCGTGAAGACATCTACAGGACAGTTTTCCATGGCAACACAATGCTCACCATGAAACACGGTTTTCTCATAACTTCAGTGAAAATGCTCCAAACGGCCCAAAAATGCACAGGTTTGGTAAAGATGCCGCCATCAACGCATCTAAACGTATTATGTTCAAATATTCTGCTGCTTTTCCAAGCATTTTTACTTTCTTTTCTTCTCTCATCACACATTCAAGCCCCCAGTATTCATGTATCATTTCAATCTAAATTCTTCACTTTCATCTTACACATTACATTTCAGCATAGCAGTTTAGCGTCAGCTTTTCAGCATAAAGCATTCCCACTAGCAATTTATTCAGGAATTGCATTCTCTAGTTTCTCTAAATGCACTTCGAGGACTGAGAATCGAGCATCGAGGAGGCTCTCTGGAGGAGCTATAATCGAGGATACACTGATGGGTCCTCCGCGCCAGTCCGCGGAACCTCCACGGATGTATTTCCGGCAACAGAGATGTTTAAAAGAGTCGCAGCGCACGGCCGGACTTATCTCAGCCAATGACAGCTCTGTATGCATCCCCTGGATAATATTTTAGTAACTGCTTTCATCGCGACGCGATGTTTCCAGTGAGAACAGCTGTGAGGTCCGTGCAGAAAGCAGAGCAGTGTGTATAATATATATCACTCAGTATAACAGGCCTACATTACTTTCTTTATTTGTATGTTTTAGTTTAGTAGATATCTACAAATGAAGAGTCGATATTTTTCTAAAACCATTTAGTGCTTCACATAATAAAATACACAACGGCTGTATCCTGATATATATATTATATGCTGTAGGAGCTGTAGGTGCGTGTGGTACAGTGTGTGTATGTGTGTGCGTAGATGCAGCGGACAGACAGGTCTCAGTTGGTTTGGTGTCCGATGCTTACTTTTAATACTTGTAAATAAAACTTTTGGCCCGTAATTTATTTTCCTCATTGTAGCGACCAGAAAGGGGGGGGGGGGGATATATCCAGTCTCTGATAGTGTTACGTTATTATGAGAGTGCTCTCATACTTGTTTGAATCTGAAATTGTATATATTTATATAAATATATATAAATATATATGTGTGTGTGTGTATATGTCCGCATCTGTAGCCTGTTATTGTCTCATTATACTGCACTGTGAATGAATTAAAAGTAAATAATAAGTCATCATGAACACAGTCCATCAGACTGAGTGCTGTGCCTCCTGTCATCATTAATGGACGTCTCTTTAAAATGACCGCTCAGAGGAGAGGATTTCTCATTTCTCTAACCGCCTGCTGCTTCCCCTCCTCTCTCCTCGGTTCCCCTCCTCGACTCCTCCGCTCGCATCTCCTGTGGGCGGGACTAAGACACGAGGATAGGAGTCGAGGAGGGGAAATTAGAGAAATGAGAAAGGGCCCAGGACATGCTTCACACGTTGACATTTAACCGAAAGCAGCTACCGTTTTTAAACTATAGTTAGAAATGTAAGAGGTTTATTTCTCATTCAGAACAATGGAAAGGCTCTCCTTTCACATCTCCATGGAAACCTTTGATCTCTGGGCTCACGTACACAGGTGTTTCATAATGTCATCACCATGGTAACCTTTGATCTCTGGGCTTACACACACAGGTGTTTCATAACGTAGTCACCTCAAACACAAACAAACAGACTGGAGTTTAAAGACTGTCTCAGCCTATTCTTATTCTGTCTGATGGAGACTTCATACTGACTTCAACACGTTCCACATATTTTATACATTATTGGTGACGTTTGGTTTTAGTTCAAAAGTTTGCAGTTAAAATATTCTGATGCTTTTCAAAGCGTTTTTACTTTCTTTTCTCTTCTTAATACACATTCATTCACTACTACTTACATTTAATATCTAACTCAGCCTACTTTCAGCTATAAACCATTCAACTATTAAATTATTCAGCTACTTCAGGACATTGAGGCTATACATGTTGTTGTTTATACCTTTTTTAAACCTTTTCTTTTAAATATTAAGCTTCTTCACTATTGTTCCTACTCTTCCAGTTTAACATTTCACTTTCAAGTTTTCAACAAAGTCATTGCAATGCATTTGACCTGTAACAATTTGATTAAATCATTTCACTTTTCTGCATTTCTCCGCTAAGTTCAGCAACACACTTACCATTCCACTAATAAAATATTAATATATATAAATTCAGCCACAAATGTTCACAGTGTACAGCATTCACACGCATTTTCAGCAGGAAATGCATTTTCTAATTGCTGTTTGATGCCTCTGACCTACAGGTGGCTTTCCTGGAGCCGCTGCTTTGCAGACTGATGTACTGGCACTTTGACAGTTTAGCCTATCAGTTCCTGGGGGAGGAGGTGGGCGTGGCTGAAATGCTGTCAGAATCGGCTATCTGGCTGCTGAGGTAACATGTACAAAGGTTATTTATTGACATTTTGGAAAAGAATACTCATCAACTGCAGATGGACTTTACCAGTGGTGGAATGTAACAGAGTTTATTTACCAACATAGTGCCATACACAAGTACTGTTTCGACTAAATTGCACGTGCATGAGTATTTCTAATTTCTGCTTCTTTATACTTCTACTTTTCTACATTTAAAAGACAAATATTCCACGTATTCAAAGTTCTTTTACATATAAATACACATTATATGCTGATATGTTATGATACAGTACTGTAATACCAATCTACCCGGTATTTTAAGTAGCTGAAATTGGCAAACTACTATTTTAAAATGCTCTTACATGTATTTGTTAGTGATAAAACTGGATGATATAATATTCTATAATAGGATAATACTGTAAAAAAAGAGCAATTCTGCATACTGAGTACTTTATTTATAGCTGATAGTACTTCTACCTAAATGACATTTCAATTCAGAACTTTTACATGTAATGGGGGATTTTAAGACCATTCTACCTTTACTTAAGGAAAGGATCTAAGTACTTTGTTAAATGATTGTTTTAGTGTTTCTGTTGTCCCGTGCTACTGAATCAAACTAAACTATAAAATATTTTAGACTTATTATTTACATAAATATGTAAATACTGTGTTTAAACAGGCTTGATTTCACGCTGGAGTTCCCACGGCCACTCATGCCTAATATGGTGCTAGTTGGCGGAATTAACTGCCATGTGAGGAATCCTTTGCCTGAGGTAAGGCCTGTGTGTCTGATCCAATAATTAACTGTAGATTTTAAATTGTTTCATATTCTATTGAGACACCATCTTGAAAAATGGCATTTCAAATTGATTTGGACTTAAATAAACATTCTGAAAAGAATATAATAAAGAAAAAAACTCTCACTGACCCTGGCATCTATGTGTGTGTGTGTTGCAGGATTTGGAGTCCTGGTTATTAGACGGAGAACATGGGTTTGTAGTGTTCACTCTGGGCACTATGGTGTCAGATCTGCCTGAAGAGACAACCTCCGTCTTCCTGGAAGCCTTCAGACAGATTCCACAGAAGGTACAGGAACATATATGTAAACATATACGTAAATGCAATTCAAACCAAACTATCTTCAAAGGGCAATGCATTATTTTTGATAGGTCGTATGGAGATACACTGGGCCGGTTCCTGATAATGTTCCAGAAAACGTGAAGTTTATGAAGTGGGCTCCTCAGAATGACCTGCTAGGTGGGTAAATCCACTGCAACACATCCTGAAATGTGAAGCACGCGACTGAAAACTTCCCAATGATGTATAACATAACTTAAAAGATCCAACATCTGTGTGTTAGCGCATCCTGGAGTGCGGGCCTTCATCACACACGCCGGCTCACATGGTCTGTTCGAGGGACTGTGTCACGCTGTTCCCATGGTGATGGTGCCACTTGGGGGGGACCAGCCTGACAATGCGCAGAGGTTGGCGAGCAGAGGAGCCGGACTTGTGCTGGATATTTTTGACATAACTACAGAGATCCTTCTGCAAGGACTGAATGAGGTCATCAACGACACCAGGTGAGGGGACACTTAAGCTCCTTTAAAAGAGGCCCTAGTATATTTTTCTGGGTTTTCCCTTTCCTGTAGTGTGCTAATAGGTTTGTGTGCATGTAAAATTCCCTCCAGAGGGAGTTTCTCTTCCAAACACTCCCCCCCCTGCCTCAAACGCCTCAATTGTAGTCCATTGTTTACTTCCCTAACAGTGAAATCATTCCGTCACACTCGTGCTTCTATTGGCTGGCGCCAATAAAACACCTTTTAAACAATAAAGCATGTAAACATGTCACAATAGATATGACACATGAAACTGAGCCTAATAGGGTCGCTTTAAAAAAATTGGTTTGGAATGTGCTTTGATAACTTTGCCTCCATGTTGTATTCTTCAACTCTTGCCATGAATCTGTTTTTATCCAGGTATAAAGAGAACGTGCAGAAGCTGTCTGATCTCCATAAAGACCGGCTGGTCGACCCACTCGACCTCTCTGTGTACTGGACAGAATATGTGATGCGGAACAAAGGGGCAAAACATCTTAAAGCTGCCGTCCATGGCCTCAACTGGATCCAGTACTACTGCCTGGATGTCATAGCACTACTGGCTACTGTAGTGCTGTTTTTTGTAATCCTGACTGTAAAATGTTTTAAACTAATCTTTTGGAAGCTGAGCAGGAAGAGAAAGCAGGACTAGTCTTTCTATATGTGCATGTTCAAATAAAAATGTACTGTATGTTAAATTTGTTTTGGTTTAAAGATGGGACAGGGTGTGGCGCAGTGGATAGAGCCTTGGTGTTGGGATCAGGGGGTCACAGGTTCAAACCACCCTGCACTCAGCATGTTGTTATGTTCCTGGGCAAGACACTTCACCCCAAATTGCTCCTGTGGGGATTGTCCACAGTATTGAGTATGTAAGTCGCTTTGGATAAAAGCATCTAAAAAGTGACATGTAATGTAATAAGAAGAATAAGGGAAGCCATGGAGTGATCAGAAAACATTTAATGAACAGAAAATACAGATTATTAGAGTCTGGGGTTGAGCGTTAGTGTCCACCCTTCTTTGGTGGGAAGAAGGTGTACTCTACAGCCAGAGCAACAGCGAAGGCGGCAAAGCCCCACTTGAATCCTTTCAGAAGCACTTCAGGCAGAGTGACAGGACGAGCAAAGCCCCCACTGTATCTCCAAGCCTCGTTGCTACAGGGACAGTTAAAGAAAGGATAGTCAGTAATCCGATTCATTAAATGGGAGACAGCTATATTTACTTTTGGTAGAAACACTGACCGTCCCCATGGATCCTTGAGGCCCCTGGATGCCAGCCTCCTCTGTACGATCTCCAGTGGGGTCCCCTCTATCTTCCACTGCCGCCAGTCTGGCAGGACCAGCTTGTTGTGCCCGTGGTCACCTCCCATTCTGAAAACAGATACATGTTAATATGTAATCACCCATAGATAACTTGAACCTCTCATATTATTATTTGCTTTTATTTGAGAAATGTGTTGTCAGAAACAAGCCTTACAGGACACACAATATGTCAATGATCCACAATATGTGTTTAAAACAGGCTCAAACATGTTTCCGCTTATGTAGAAGTGAAAACTGCTAACTCTTTGGTTTCCATGTCTGTTTACATCTAGAAATGTACATGTGGGACCAGGTTTTAACCATGTTTAAATGGCATTAAAATGTTTGTTTGTAATGACGAACCATTTATGTTATGCTTATGCTCATTGTATAAGCATATAACTGGTCTCAGGTTATACACTATTTAGTGCCATTCAATATGGAGGTTGATGTGATTGGCTGTTTTCTATTGTCTTATACCTGTCTACATTACACTGGCTCAATACCTGTTTAAGCTTTTCTAAGATTCTCAGGACGCAAGATGGCACATAAATCAAACTTTATAACACTCGGTTTAGGCAGTCATTGTCATTATGTAATGTTGATGTTTTGATCTTTGAAATAATGGATGTAAACTAGCTGTGAAGCAATCTCTGGCAGTGATTTAAATGTTGCTGAATGTTTACTGTTGTTCGTAAATAATCAATAAACAATCTGGTCGCAGCACCTGCAAACACTGAACCTGTCAAAGCTCAATGATGTTAAGCGTTATTGAACATTTGAAACATGCCCTACTTTATTCATGACTGGCTTTCTTTATACACAGTGTCATTCAAGTTACGTGTCTTACTAAAGTAAAGATGTGTACATAATGAATAGGAAAAAAATCGTTGTTTAATGAAAGTACACAGCGTTTCCTCAGCTAGCATTTCGTTAGCTAACGTGCTAACGTCAGCTTGTCCAACATCCATACAATTGCAGCATTTGCTCTATGAGGCATTATCTACAGCTTTATTTATGTTAAGATACCGTTGTCAGCCACTGTGAAAGAGCAACAAAAGATGCTTTAGAAATGTAACATATTCATTAAAAAGCATAACACTGTACCTGAGTGGTTTGTTGTGACCTCTGTAGCAGGACTAAGTGTTCTTCTTCTTCAGCGTTTTATCGCAGGTAGACACCAGGGATACAATACATTACCGCCACCTACTGTGTTGGAGAGTGAACCAAAAATATCTATCTATATCTAAGAAAAAAGGAATCCCTCAGAAAATGTTAATAAAATATACACTTGACTAAAACGTAATGTCTAATGAACAGCTCCTGGATTAATTGTTACTAATCTAAAGTTGTTTAACGCCAATATTACAGCAAAGCACGCTGGACCAAAAAACAAAGCGTCTTGCACCTTTACAAGTAGAGCTATACCTTTATTTATTGTTGTAATATCTAATAAATTGTAAGACAAGCTATTTTTTACAAATACTGTATTTCTAATATACATTATTCTTTTACTTTCTATCCAATTCAACTATCAAGGGCAATGTCTTTGTCCAAATAAACACTTTATATGATTCAAATATTTTATTTATTTGACAGTACTATGTTTAATTTTCAGTTTTCCCTTAAATATTGGACAAATAAAGGAAACATGTTACATTTACATATAAAGTCTGTATTTCATAACAATATCAAAGATGAGCAGCCTTGAACAGCCTCAGTACATATATTTAAAATATTATTGTAATTTTCCATCGTTGTTTCTGTCTTTTGTCTCCATTTGCAAATAATGCAATTTTGTCAAATAGCACCGTTAATTACCAACTTACAAAGGCATTGAAATTTTTTTATATAGTGCTCTGTCACAACTCATTACCAAAAAAACAATCAGACACTTGTATAGCTATTATTAAATACAATTATGTACAGAATTTGTTATAATAAATCACACTATCTTAGTCCCGGGCCACTATGGTGTCTTGTTTCTTCCCATTGCTTGTGGTACCCATCAGCTCTCTGTCCATGGGCTCAGACAATTAGAGCTTGCTTTTGGGGTTGAGTAGTTCCTTCATAGCCTCCTGGTTCTCCCCCTCTGGAGCTTCAGGCCATGCACTGTGGTCTGGAGAAAGAAACATAAAAAGACAATAATTTAGAACACAAAATAGTGTGCTGTGTGGTATAAAGTATAAACCGTAGTGTTGATACGTACTCGGTATCTCCCACATGGAGTGGTACAGACTCTGTCCTGCATCAACCCTCAGAGTGTCTCCAGAGATGTAGGAGGCCCCAGGAGAGAGCAGGAAGCAGACTGCTGATGAGATCTGAACAAAGAAACAAGTACAAAAAAACATTAGATATAGCCAAGACTTTTCTTTAATCTGTTAGCCTACTTTTATTATTTTTGCTTTCAATATACACTGCCCCTTTGCTGTTGTAACACTTTAAATTTGCCCGCTTTGGAACAAATAAAGGATTTCTGATAGTTTAGTTTGTGGCTCAGTGGGTAGTGTGCTGGACTTCGAATCAAGGGATAGCAAGTTCGAGTCCCACTGCAGTCAGCATGTCGTTGTGTCCCTGGGCACGACACTTCACCCCAAATTGCTCCTGTGGGGATTGTCCACAGTACTGAATGTATGTAAGTCGCTTTGGATAAAAGCATCTAACAAATGACATGTATTGTAATGTTTATTTTAAAGCTGGAAGGCAGAATGATGGTTATACCTCTTCTGGTACCCCTAGCCTTTTTGCGGGGCTAAATGGAATAGACATCTTAAAGAGACTTGGTCCAAGATCCTTGTAGTTTTCCATTGCAGTTTTGGAAAAGATTGTGCCCTGCAAACAGAGAAAAGCACAGCTTTTTAATTACAAATTAAACACCTTCATCAATTATCCTGTGTTTACTCATGGTCTGTACTTACAGGTGCGACAGAGTTGACCCTGACTCCTGAAGCTGCCCACTCGATGGCCAGACTTTTTGTCAGGTTGTCCACTGCTGCCCTCGCTGCCCCTGTGTGGCTGTAAGTGAGAGGAGATTCAGTAAGTACATCATACAAAGTCTTGCTCCTTGATTATTGGTTGAACCAGAGTGATTCTGGTAAGAAATCAAGGATTGAGGAGCAAGCAGAGATCTCTGAGTATCGATGCCAAGGATACACGAGAGCAGCCTTCCTCATTGAGGGAGTGCTGTAGCTGATATGATACATTACAGTCAAATGCATCAATCCCATGTAACGTTTTTTTTGTTTCTGATTTACCATATAGTTCAAAATCTGTGTTTATTGTAGATCTGAACAATAAAACGAACCAAAATCCGCCTAATTTTTCTTATTAAACATTCTCTTTTTCCCTCTCCACACATGGTTTTCTTGCATCATACAGCCCCAGAGGGAGGGATTAAGACGCAAGGAAAATACCTATTTGAGGGTATCATGAATTTAATTTAAGATTTGGGATTAAGAACTCACAATACAGAGGAAATAACTAATTGCAATTAGTTTGACTAACTTTGCACTGTGATTTATTTCAGATATATGAGGAAATTAGCAATTTTGAAAAAACATTCAAATGATCACTTAGGAAAAGTTCTCATGCATCTGTTTACAGTTAACTTATATATCCTTACAATATGCAGTATTGTATTCCACTGTACAGTATTTCATTTTACATTGGTTTTTATTCTGTCTTAATCTATTTTACATACATATAGTTTACTTCTTTCTGCATTGTACTTGCACCTTTGTTTCCCTCGCAATATTTCATTTGTATTTCTTCTTGCACTATTTTTATTTATTTGTATGTCTTAATTACTTGAATGCCTGGACTTCTCTGCAGCACCACAATGCTTCATTCAGAATTTTCACATATTTTGTATTTACCAAATATTGCGCTGACTGCAATTTGGAATTGCACTCATTAATATTGATTAATTTTGTGTTTTAACTAAATGGAAACTATTGTGTGAATTCATTTGGTGTTCGGTGCTGCTGCTTACGCCATCCCCGGAAAGCCTTTCCACATGTCAGCTATGATGTTGACGATCACCCCTCCATGCTGTTTCATCCATGCGGCGTACACTGTGTGGACAGAACCATAAAAGTCACACTGAGCTTTTTATCCAACACACACTGAGGCTGTGTTAGATTATCAAACACACACTGAGGCTGTGTTAGCTTATCAAACACACACTGAGGCTGTGTTAGCTTATCAAACACACACTGAGGCTGTGTTAGCTTATCAAACACACACTGAGGCTGTGTTAGCTTATCAAACACACACTGAGGCTGTGTTAGCTTATCAAACACACACTGAGGCTGTGTTAGCGTCTTTACCCTGCTGGCAGCAGTGGAAGGTTCCCGTCAGGTTGGTGTCTATCACAGCTTTCCAGCCTTTAGACGACATGTGTTCTGCCGGGCTGCTGAACTGACCTCCTCCATTGTTCACCAGGAAGTCTATCCTACCGTACCGCTTCAGCACTGACGACACAAGATCCTTCACCTGGGCATAAAAGAAAACAGAAAATCAGCTGTTGAAAGCAACAGCATGAAGTAATGTGAGCCTGAGGGTGAGTGCAGGTCCTCACCTCATCTTCGTTTCGGATGTTACACTGCAGAGGAGTGACACGCGCCGGGCTGGAGGCGGGGATCTTCTGTCTCATCTCCTCAGCTGCTGCTTCCAACCTCTCCACCTTTCTACTGGAGATGACCACATTGCAACCTGAAGACAACAGTCAGCTTCAAAAACTAGGATTACAGTACTGACTGAGGGCTGGGTTATATATCAATAACATTATATGAGACAAAATATCGTATTAGATCTTTGATATCTATAAATGGCATTAGTGTATTTTCCTAGAGACTGCATTATAAAGTCATGTCATTTTCAGAAATCCTGTTCAAACTGTTCTATTTGCCTTTAAACAATTAGTCACATTACTGACATATATAAATCAAAATGTCATTGTGTGTCTTCATTATTAGAATGTCATTACTACATTGTATTTTAGGGTTTTGGTAAAAAAAAGTGTATAGTCTGTTCACATGCAATATATTTTATTCAGAATTTATTTTCAAATGTACAAAACACATCCCTTGAGTTTCTGAGTCCTTCATGGTGTGTTCACTTGAGAGAACTTGGAAATCATTAATGGATTATTTGGAGCTAAACTTTAACCCACACACCCACCACCATTGTACTGAATGTAACTCCAGTAAGTGAGTGGCATTTATTTATAAACTCGTATTTTTTACTGCCTTTATACCCCATCGCATTGGAATTAGATGTGGGTATATTTGGCTATATTGTCCCTGTTTCATTCATGCCAATAAAGCATTTAATTTAATAGAATTTTGATACATTTTTAACATTCAGAATTTCATTTGATAGCTGTAATCAGTTTGCCTGCACAGTGTATACACCTTTATATATACAGTCTATGGTTTAAACTGAGTGACATTTTGAAGAATTCAGTAGCCTACATGGCTTCTTGTATCTGTGTCGAAGTTCACTTGGCTCTTGTTGTCAGTCAGTCGCTGTTCACTTCTGAATCTCAGCTCTATGAAAGTAAAACTCTGTTCCCCAAGCACCCCACATCACTCACCGAGCTCCAGCAGCTCTTCAGATATAGCTTTACCGATCCCGGTCCCGCCGCCCGTTACTATTGCAACTTTGTGGTTGAACAAGCCCGGTCTGAAGACACTGGACGCCGCCATGTTTGTTTCTTGACGCTGCTGCTGGGGAACACGACCCCTGGTGGACAGCAGCTGTGTTCGGTTTAAATGATGCCCTCTTTAGGAGTGTAACTGACATTGTTCTGCATTGACCTTGTTAATACAACAGGAACTTAGTGGAATATTATAAATTCAACTATATATTTTTTTCTTTGTTTCTTATATGCCATGGATATTCAATTTGATTTATTTACTATCAATCTTAACCAATATGATTCCAACCGTTTAGTACCAGATCTAAAGCTGGTTAGAATTTTTGTATTGTATTAATTGTAGGGCTGTCAAGTTAACGCGTTAATAACGCGTTAACGCAAAAAAAAATTAACGCCACTAATTATTTTAACGCGATTAACGCATGTGTATTTTTTGTCCTCGGCCGCCGTAGTTTCAGAGCGCATCGAGTTTAAAATACCATCTACTGTACAAGCTGATGCTGACAGCCCCGTTCCTGCCGCCCGCTTGTGGCAGACCACACTTCCACGCTCACCGGCAGGCCCGGACTGGCCATCGGGAGGACCGGGAGGGTGTGTGTGTGTGTGTGTGTGTGTGTGTGTGTGTGTGTGGCGCGGCGCGACTCGCGCGAGCGATGCACACCTTACGTGTTGTTGTTGTTGTTAGCATCCGGTGCTAGCTAGCTGCGCTAACGGATATAAGGAGCTGTTTCAATGACATTTCGCCGACAACTGCGCCGAGCACTTGACTTTATGCAGGTAGCCAGACAGTGGGACATTGTACGAAAAGTCAGCACACTCAGTACGCGCAACATGATTGCAGCTCCCGTTCGAGCATATATGCCTTGAGCTGCACATAGCTCCAACGATCTACACACACACACACACACACACACACACACAGTATTGTATTATTGTATGAGAGGTTCCAGGTTGAATTGAGGCGAATATTTGTAATGTTCAGAGGTTGTTGTGTTTAATATTCATGAGAATATTTGTCATTGTTCAAATGATAAAACATATAAAGCATATTTGTCCACTCATGTTGATATGAGTATTAAAAACTTGAAAAATATCCCTCTAAGGTACATTTAGAACAGATAAAAAATGTGCGATTAATTTGCGATTAACTATGGACAATCATGCGATTAATCACGATTAAATATTTTAATCGACTGACAGCCCTAATTAATTGGTCTACATTAATACTGTAAATTGATGTTTAAATGAGTTTGTAGGCACAGACCATTGGGTTAAGTTTTTTCATTAAAATATGAAAATGTACATGATACAAAATCCACTGTTATTTAAATGATACACCCTGATGGATCCTGCACAGCAATTGTTCCCAGTTTTCAGCCGAGGCTCCCGTCAGATGAACTCACATCCCCTTTGACTCCAAATGTTTTACTTTGAGATTAAAGTGGATTAATTGATCTAATACAATTGATCTCGATATTTATAATAGTTTGGTCTACTACTTTGTGTAAAGTTGAATCTTTAAAATTGTAATTACTATTGGCTACCAGTTGAACTTCTGTGCCCTCTTGCAAACTGGTTTTGAACATAAGGCTTCATGTAGATTAAGGTTAAACCTTACCAACTATACATTTGTAATTAAAATCAGTATTTAAAAAAAAAAAAAATAAGTTAGTGGAGCTACGCTAGTTTTCCTACGGACTTCCCTGGCAACTTCAGAATTACCCCATGATGGGAATATATATATATATATATATATATATATATATATATATATATATATATAGTCTTTGGTGGGGAATCACTGTAAAGTACCAGTAAGTAATTTTTTCAAGCACTCTCACTGCAGGAATTATTCCAGTACTCATTATTTCCTTAAAATCGCTGTAGATTAAAACAGGCAAAGTGTAATGTGGCAGAGCAATAGATTAAGTATAAAAAGTTATTAGAGCGCAGGCCAGAAAGACACTATTAAATACACATTTCTTATAACATTGGAACACCTTTTGACATTGGAACCCTGATCTCTAGTGCGACACACGTTTTGATTTTACTGCTACATTATAAAACAGATAAAGACACAATAATTCCGCTCCAGACAGATTTATTTGTTGATGTTGTGGCCATGTCCAGGGTGGGTTAAACAATAGAAAAAGTCCCAAGGTTTACTGGTCTTTCAACTCCTTCAGCCTCCTGATCGCAGACTTGACTGTGACAGCTGAAGTTGTGCTGCAAAGACAAAAAACAACATTAATACTTATTCATTGTGTATGCATTATAATTCAATAATTTAAACCTTGGCTATCCAATTGCTGCCCCTTGCTTCAACAGGAGCTTACCTCTCTAAAAAAAAAGTAAAGAAAAAACTTGTTGCCGCATTCATGAAGGTCCTTTTTAAAAATAACTTTCACATAAAAACTCCATTAGGTGATCTTGCCTTTGTTTTGTTGCATTAGTTTTTCAATATAAAAACACTTTCCCTTTGGTAATATAAAAAACAATGCAACCCTTTTTTCTTCTTATGAAGTCTACCCGTAGCCTTATAGAATAACCTTATTAACAGTATATTGGAAAACATTCCTGAAAATCCCTTACATCAGCACGTAGCTGTCCACAATCCCAAAAATTCTTCATTTAAAAGATTGCTTGCTTTGTGGTTCGGTGACAATGCTCAATGCAATGATGTTGATTTAAGGTTTTGATGGTAATTGGCAAAGCAATCCAATAATCTTTCCTATTGTGGTCTGGGAAAGGCTGCTACCATATTAAATTAGGAAATGTACAATCACCCTTGACACAAAATAGAATTGTTGATAGGGGAATCAGGCTTAGCAACAGCCGAAGATGCCGCCCTAAAACATTCATTCTCAATATGAAATAGTAAAAAGAAACCTACTTGTATGTCCAGGCGCCTCCAGCCACGGTCTTCCTGCAGGACCCACAGTGCCAGATGCCAACGGCCCTCCTCTTCATCTTGGTCTGTCGAAATACATTTAAAAGTGGTATCTTGTCAACAAATACACGATATCCAAATATAAAAATGTTTTACATATGCTGCAGGTTTTAAGTGTTTCTTTACATTAATATATACACTTTAAATGAACCTGAATAAGATCACAAGTTAGTTGGAGCAGTTTGTGGATTTTATAGTTGACCTTACCTTGCCACAGAAAGAGCAGGTGTATTTTGCGTGCTGGGAGATTTCAATTTTCTTAACCATCTTCCTCAGCGACGCGCCATAACGCGTGCCATATTTACCCACGATCCCCACCTTCTTGGTACGCTTGGCCTGTGAACAACATTAACACATAAAATGTTCAAAATATGCAACAATAATGCAGCTGCAGAAGCAAAACCCCCTCTGATATATTTAGCCGCTACTGCCACTAAACTCTTAAGCAGCAACTGTTACTACAGGGGCAAAGTTTTTGCACAATATTCTAGTTATGCTTATACAAAAAGCCAGTCTAGTTTTAAGGATTACATTTTCTTACAGAGGAGTTTACAAAGGACGACCACATGTCACAACACTGCAGCTTTTTTAAATGAGTTTACACCATTAAGTTGTGAAACTCGTAGAACCAGGCTGCTGTGTTAGCAGTGGTGTAACCAGCTAGCCTAGCTTCCGTTAACCAAGCTATCCAACGAGCTAACCTACACCAATTCAACAGTGTATACAGGTTTGGGGACTACAACCCTCTAGAAAAAAAGGATTTACGTTTGCTTTAATTTTAAACCTGAGGGTCCTCCAAGTAAGCAAGGAATATAGTAGTAATGCTAATGTGCCTAGCCCACCCAGTACATGGTCTCAGTGAGTAGCAATGGTGGCAGCCATTTCTGTCTCACTAGAACATGAAAACATCGTATTTGCTGGTGAAATAATCCCAAAATGGGCACAAATAACGGGCAGGTATAACAAACAAGAACATTGTGAAGCCTTCAAATATGTGATTAAATCATTATTAGCTCAGGAATTGGTAGATTGACACGGATTAGCAAGGGGACATTTTCGGCTCACCATCGTTTCAGTGGAGACGTAGGTCCAAAGAGGGATTGTTCACCGCGCAGGCGCGATTTACCCACTCGTTTACGTTGCATTGTGGGAATTTGAGTTTCCAAAGAATGCAGAGAAATGACACGAAAACAAAACTACTTTTATGAAACGTATAAAATACGCCGGTCCTTTTTTCTAACCCTAACAAGTTATTTTATTATTGCATACTTATAACAACAAATAATAATACATTTATCCACCAACTCGGATAATATTATAGAAATATAATGACGGAAATGACTGTAACTATGGACGCGTCGGTGGATACGCGCACGCGCACTCATGGGGTGAAACAACATCCTTGCTCCTTTGCTGCTGAGTTGAAATGTTTGTCGACTTAGCCTGTCATAATGCGGCATTTGTTTCTTGTGAACATTTAGTGCATTTAAAATATTCTTTCTTAAAGGCAAAGTCAGTTCTTATGCTATGAAGCTAACACGGAAACAGGTTCTCGCGAAGGCTAAGGCCTCCGACTTGGAGAGCGTGAAGAAACTGAACTGCTGGTGAGTGTCGTCATTTGAAAATAATAGTTAACGTACGTAAGTCGTTTTTGTAGGTTTTTGGTAAACGTTAGAGGCGTATGGTCGACAAGTCCAGCTCATTTTGTATACGTCGCATTTGTAGTAACGTCACACTGCATTTTGTTTTTGCAGGGGATGCAACCTGACTGATGTGAGTATTGATATGATATTCTGGTTTAGCATTGTAATACTATTAATGCTTAAATGACTTTGCTAGGTATATTTATTATTAAGTAAGTGTTAAGTTAAAGTTATATGCAAGTATTGCTATAATAGTGTACCCTTATGCTCTATCTTCCCAGATTTCCATCTTCTCTCAAATAGCTAACATTGAGGTGCTGACACTTAGGTTGGTCTTTTTAGTCTTTGCTGTGTCTCTTTCTGACACATTCACACACGTCACTGACACAATATAATTTGTTACATCTGCACAGTATCTTGAGATGATCAGTGAATCCTGTCTGTGACGTCTTCTCTTTTTCTCCCTCTCTGTAGTGTCAACAGCATCTCGTCCCTCTCTCCTCTGGCTGGCTGCCTGTCTCTGTGTGAGCTCTACCTGAGGAGGAACAGCATCCCCTCCCTTTCTGAGCTCTCCCATATGCGCCCACTGACGCGCCTCAGGGTGCTGTGGTTGGCAGAGAACCCCTGTTGTGGAGCTGACTCCAGCCAGTACCGCCTCACAGTGCTGCGCTGCCTGCCTCGCCTCCAGAAGCTCGACAACCAAGGTGTGTGTGGGCCTGTGTTCGAATTATTTGCACCGACAATAACAAAAAAAACATTAGAGCTATTGACTGGAGCAAAATCTGCAAAGCTAAGGTTTGACTTTAGAGGACAAGGTGAGGGTTGGATGAATCATCAGTGTGTGTGTTTGCAGTGGTGACAGAGGATGAGATTGCACTTGCTCTCGTGGAGGGTGAAGAAGTCAACACGCCTCCAGGAAGTGTCCAAAACCAGCTTTCAACCAACGGACATCCAGAGGCAGAGACAGAGAATGACCCGCTCAATTATAACATGGAGGAGACCAAGTAAGACTTTTGGATTGATACCACAAAGAAATAAAATCATAAATCTGTCAAAGTGCTGTCGACATATTGAGAAAAACACATTTCTCATATTTTTCAGCAAAATCAGAGAAGAGCTGGGAATGAAACTCCTCTCCAGAGACAAGTTCCCCTCCCTCTCTTCTCCATCCACCCGAGAAAACAAACTGACATTGAAAAGGGTAAACTTCTCACCTGAACAATGCTTTCTAGAATTAAAAAGCGATGAACTATCTCCCTTATAACTTTATTTTTATTTTTCAGACACACACTCTCGATGCAGTTCTGCTGCTGCTGCAGGATTTGGATGAAGAGGAGCTTCGCTTTGTGCACACAGCTGCCACAAACAGACTGCAGACTTACATGCTGGATTCAGAAACACTGACGTATTCACTGCAGACACAGAAAAGTGCAGAGATCCAACACTGAAACATTTCATAGCATGGAATCATTTGCAAGACTCTCTCGCCTTCTTTGCATCAACCCTAGCCTCACTGACAAAAGGGATTATAAAAATCACCCTCCCCGTTATTTTTATCTTTTACCTTACAAATGCAATGCATGGAATGTTTCACTGACCTCTTTCCTTTTTGTTACAGTTTACACATGTGGAGTAGTACTTAAAGGGGCCCTATTATGCTTTTTGGGGTTTTGTAAATGGTCTGCAAAGAATAAAATCCCAAAGTTCTCCCACACATTCCCCCCCTGCCTGAAACATCCCCATTGGACTCTTGTTTACTTCCGTGATATAAAAGCTTTCTCATTTCTCTCATTTCCCCTACTCGACTCCCCTCCTCGACTCCTATCCTCGTGTCTTAGTCCCGCCCACAGGAGATGCGAGCGGAGGAGTCAAGGAGAGAGGAGGGGAAGCAGCAGGCGTTTAGAGAAATGAGAAAGCCTCTCCTCTGAGCGGTCATTTTAAAGAGACGTCAATTACGGGCCAAAAGTTTTATTCACAAGTATTAAAAGTAAGCATAGGACACCAAAACCAACTGAGACCTGTCTGTCCGCCGCATCTACGCACTGTACCCCACACACACACACACACACACACACACACACACACACACACACACACACACACACACACACACACACACACACACACACACACACACACACACACACACACACACACACCTCCTAAAGCATATAATATATATCAGGCTACATTGAGAAACCTTCATAGTAACACAATGTAACACTCACGCTTCTATTGGCTAGCGTTCTGAGACATTGTACCATAAAAACAAGTGCTTTTTGAACATTAACGTCGAGGCATAAAATTAAAATATGAACCTGAAAAGGAGAATAATAGGGCCCCTTTAATTGCGCTTTTTTTTAACGCAGCATGCCTACCTGCCTTGAACAAACAAAAGAATGTACGTTTTGCAAAATGTCAATCTATTGCTGTAATTAAAGAGATGAAATTGCATAACTCACAAAGTGTTTTAATTAAACAGATGCTGTCTGAAAACATATACATTAAAGCACAAGGTGTAAATGTCACAGTGCAACAATGGGGGCATTATTGACAAGTGAAACTTTACATCAAATATTAGATTTATTCAAGAGGGCATTTATATCAGTGATGGAAACAACCAAAATATTGATTTGCTGGTAGAGTCAGTAGCAGATTTACACAAGTCCTCTCTTTTCAGTCCCCCTCTTCGTTCTCCAGGAAATCCATCAACGTGCCCGGATCCACAGCGACGATCAGGTACTCCACTCCATCTGCACCCTGGTGAGTCATGGGAACAATTGTAAGTGAGTCTGCCGAAAGCAATGGCAGCCAATAAAGGTTGGAAATCCTTAAGTTAAACAGGGCTCTACCTTGCGTGTGCGAATGAGTTTGTGGTCTCTGAACTCGGTCAGCTGAGTCCTGAGCGTGAGGTCGGAGTTCACCAAGAACGACTCTCGACAACGCTGGTAGAAATCTTGGAATGACAATCCTGCACCCAGCGATACAAATACGTTACAATCTTAAATCTACACACAATCATTTTAAGAAGAAGTTGTTACATTATGCTGAAGCTTTGCGTGTGCACCTGTGTATGAAGGGTTGTCTTTGTTTTCCAGCTGGAAATTCACCAACAGTTTGAAAATTCCTCTGCGAAAAGAAAGAAAACAAAGCCATAAAAAACTAAAGCAATTCAAGAGTGAATTATATCAAGGTTTAAATAGCATAGAATTGTAAAGACGAATCAAGAAACAGATGAATTATTCCAGACTTATATTGATATTTGATTAAAGGGGCCCTGTTACGCTAATTTTAAGGTTTCATAATATCTTGTTCCTCTTCTGTGACATGTTTACATGCTTTATTGTTCACAACGTGCTCTATTTTTCTGTTAGAGAGTTAGTCAATAATAGCGCAAGTGTATAGCTGTCCAGCTCTGGTGATTGATCCACCTCTTTAAGATGTCCCGCCACCTTAGCCTATCATGTACAATGTGTTGAAGTGCTAGCCAATAGAAGCCAAGTGCTATATAGCTATGTCACGGATATAAACAATGGTGTCCAATCACGGCAGGGGGTGTGGGGGGGAGTGTGTGGAAGAGAAACTTTGGGATTTTAGCCTTTGCAGACCATTTACATGCACAAAAACCTATATAACACACTACGGTTAAACAAAATAAAAAATTGCATAATAGGACCCCTTTATCAGTTAAATACAATTTTCATGCAAAAAATATGGAGATTTCCTTCCATTCTTGATATGTTAAAGTGAATATGTTCTGGTTTTGGAATGACAGAAAAATACATTTAAAGCCACTTTGAGAAACTATGGAAATGTTTCCCAATTTTCTGACACTTCATATATTTATCGCTTCATAGACCAAACTTTTAATCTAAAAAAGCCAATGCTGGTACCTTGCATTGGGTGTCAAGCTGCGCAGCACGTGTGTGAGCGAGGACAGGGCGAGAGCGCCGGTCTGCTGCACCAGGAGCGAGTTTTCATAAGACGTTTCCTCTGTGTAGTGCTGGAAGGACACGCACTCCCACCACAGCCAGTTGAACTGGCTCTGCTTAAACTGGTCCCACACTGGAAACAGGAGAAAGTCAGCAACAAATACTGATTTGAGTAGAATAAACACACACACTAGAAAACACCCACCCAATGGAGCGTTGATGTGGTCCAAAGAAGCCACCAAGTGCAGGTTGGGCAGGGATGCCAGCTGCCCCAGTGCACTCTGGGTCTTCTCTCCTCGTAGCATTGATCCATCGATGTTATGGATTATCAGGTACAGATGGAGGTCTGGGCCTGCAAGTAGATGCTTCCATTGTAAAACACATAATTTAAACATTGGCTTTATAACTGGAAACAATTGACAGTCACACTTACTGTCTTTTAGGGTCTGAGCGATGAAGTGGATCTGGTCTGAGGGGGTCCGGAAACTTCCCTCGTGCTCTAGAGCCTCACATGTCAGAGCATTTAGGATCTGCAATGAAAGCATATTATGATGAGTATAGAAGGGGAAAAACGTTAATAAATATTCAGCACATTGAAGAAAAAACATGTATTTGGTTTCTCAGACAATAATTGGAGTAAAAATAATACTAGTAGGATACAATTCCTATGCACCTGTAGTTCTTAAAAGTCTTGATCTGTTATCAACCTCGTCTTTGTTTTTTTATGTTTAGTCGTATCTGTTTTCATATTGCATTACCCTTTTTATGTTGCTACTTTTGGGTTTTATGGTTTTATTGTACGTAAACATTGTTTTAAAAAAACGTCCTTTAAAAAGTGCTATGCAAATAACATGTTTTTATAATGATCTATTGCTGGCTTTTTTCCTTATAGGAAATAAGAAAACTAAAGATTGCCAGCCTTATCAGCCCCGATCCATGCACATTCCTTTGCAGTTTAATTGTTGTTATAAAACGGACAAGTCAAATCAAGCAATCTGTCGGTTCTTAGCCGTGATATAATGAGCGTATATCACGGGTAGAATTGTAGTTACTTTTCACAAGTCATGTATCCCTCCGCGTCTGAGAAAAGCTACAACCGTTACAACTGTTACATTACGTCCGTTACGAAACTAACTAACTAACAAAGCTTAAGATGGAAACATTTAAGGTTAACTTCGACCTCCGGGGGGGTCTTACTATGGAGTAGTGGATTGAGCAGTGCCTATCTCCAGAGAAAAAAGCACCTAAACGACGACATGCAGAGCTACGTGAAGAGCGGGTAGACCAACTGGAAAAGTACCACCATTCAAAAGCTTTCTGATGCGGGTCTTGAAACAAAGCAGAGAAATTATGACCGTTAGTGGCCACAGGTGCGAAAGCTCTCTCCAGAGCTACTGGAAGCCGAATCTCGGGGACCGGAGAAAGTGGAGCAATATTCTCGCCACGCCAAGCAACAGCCTGAGCCTACAACCTCAACCTATACAAGTAACCACGTAAGCCATTCTACTGATGCTGGACAGTTTTTTTAAATAATCGATCAACGCTGTCTGTCTAATATGTTCGCTAGCTGTTAGTGTTGTTGCATAGCAACCACCTCGCACTGTTTTGTGCAGAAGGCAACGGAGGGACTATTTTATTTTGAACATCATTATTTACTAATAAAAACTATTTAAATTAGAGTGTGTATTTTTCTTTCATATTGCCACACTTGGTAACCGTTTTATAAAAGCAATAGCTCACTTCAGGCCGTGATATATGCTCATTATATCACAGCTAAGGGGCGTGGTTCGGCCCGAGCTATTGCTTAAATATACACTGTACCAATAAAAGCATTTTCCTGTGCACACTGACCGATTTAAGAGTAATGGAGGGGAAGAATCCGTTGACCACGAGGTGGATTTCCTGAGCCAAGTGAGACACACGGAAGTCCTCCAGCAGAGACTTTTTGCTGCCCAAACCGTAGACGATCACACTGAATCCCAACCTACACAAACAAAACACACAGCCACTTGTACCAAATAAAAAAATAAAATAAAAAAAACATTGAATAAGGAAACCACACTCAACTGTAACTGTAACATCCATTTGCTAAAGTGCTTTCTGTGTTTGCTGTAGAGCTGCTGGATCTCTTTGGCGCAGCAGGACGGCTTCTCCCCTAAAAGCTGCCCCAACATCTCCTGTAGACAAAACAAAAAAGAGGATGCAGCTTTAAAACACGGGAACACAGCAGCTTGTTGAATAAATGGAAGTACAGGCTGTTTGTCACTGACCCTGTCCAGTTTGGGGGTGTGTAGCCGCTCCAGGGTCCGGTCTGACGTCAACACCTTAGAGTTGCCATGGGCTTCGAAATACTCCTCCACCATACTGGGCTGGTTGAGGGCTTCGGACTTGCTCTTCTTGGCGGGGGTCTTGTAGAGAGCTGCAGATGATCCTTTTTTTGGAGTCTTTAAGTTCTCCTTGTCCTCTTTCTTCACTTTCTTTTCTTCCTCCAGCCCGTCTTCATCGTCGTCCTCCCCAGAGTCAGAGGGCGACAGCTCGCTATCGCTGTCTTGCACGCTTGGAGCTGAAAGCATCAAAGAGCTTAGCTGTACTCCAACTTTAAATATCGGAGCAATAAGAGAATTTATGAATGTTACACTCACTGGTGATTCTCTTCCTGAGCCTGTGGGGGGTTGTGGAGACAAACTGAACCTTCTTGCTCTGATAGAAAAAGAACAGGAAATAATGAGAAAACATCTGACACTGCAGCAATTTCACCTAATCACATCTGCTCACGAAAAACAATGATGCTGGATGTGAATATAAGAAGATAACAGGTAACTTTGATATTATTCAACCTGTTGTCCACTAAAAGTACTTATTTTTGCCACTGAAAGGTCCAAATTGATATAATAATCCATTTGAAATACATAATCTGAAAACATTATGGAAAAATCCTACAGAGTAACAAAATGTGTGTTTTACTTTCGCTTGATCCCAACTGTTTGTTATAGTGTTGTCTGCGTAAAACAACATTGGAAACGTCAACGGTGTTGTCAGAGTTTGTTGTTATGGAGTACAGAAAGCGTAGCTCAGTGTTATCTAAAAAGTCTTTTTTTTAATGTCCTGGCTGAATATTTTGCCAATTTCGTCAAGGTTGAAGCCTCGTGAGATTTCAGAACCAGTCTTCTCAGGGCAAGACTTGGTTTTGACACAAACAAAACATTTTATCTCTCCAAGGGGTCCTTCCAAAAATGTATTCATACACAATATCAGCCTGTCAGTGGCAAAGACAAGCCCTTTAAGTGGACATACCTTATTAAGCTAAAAATCCCTTCTAGTCTCACCTTCTGTGGCGTCCTGCTTTCACCTTTGTTGTCTAGTTAGAGAGAGGAAAAAGTGGATTTAGCTGAATATTAATAGTCAGAGCAAAGAATGGACACATTAAAATAGTGAAGTGTGCTGAACTCACTGCGGCCTTTCCTGGTAGGAGTCGAGGGCTCAATGTCGGGGGCTGAGCCGAAGGACACGCTTTTCCCGGGAGTCCTGGCCAACTCACTTGCTATTTACAAAAACACAAAGTATGTTAAATCCTGGAATCTAAAGGAATAATCACATGATTCAGGCAGCTGGTGTCATGCAATAAAAGAGAGTTTGTGTGTTATGACAGAAGAGGACTGAGGCTCTCACCAGTCAGGGCCATGCTGTGTCCACGCCTGGATTTCTGAAAGGAGAAAATGGACGATCCAGCCACTCTGTGCATTCCCTCATCATCTTCTGTGAAAGCAAGGAAAATGATGGAACTGAGATGTGTCCGATCAAATAATAATTGACATATGATTAGCAGCAACAAACTCAATGGACTTGTGCTAATTCACGCTGTACCAGTAGAGCTGGAGCTGGTCAATTCCAGCGTGGATCAGTTGTGAAAAGTGATCGGACGTTATAGAATTTTATATTAGATGGCGATAAAAAACGCTCATAATAAGTTGATCAGAGCGAATTTCCATTATCACGACTATAATGGCGGAGAAGTGAAAAATAAAGCCTGTTCAAATAAAAACCGGGAAATAATAATATATTTCAGTATATTTTAAGATGATTATCGTGTTATTGTAAATAGTATTTTTGTACTATTTTATCCACAATAATCCAAACATTATATTTTCATATCATGCCATTGTAGTTTTGAAAATATATTTAGTGGAATAATATACTGTGTGTACATTTGTTATAAATGTGGTGAATAGTGTTACACAATAGAAGATGCCAACAGTAACACACACTCTTCAAAACAGTTTCAACAAAAACAAACACTTTATAACCTAATAATGACTTAAAAAACTGGCAACTTAGTGTATTCTTAGTGTTAGAAGGGTATTGATTTATCTCCGGCATAATTATTTGTTCACAAGTCTTTGCAGCTGGTGGTGTTTTTATTTTCTATAAAATGTCTTTACTTTTTGAATGTAATGCTACATGTTTGTACAACTCACTGCATTGTGATACTGTTTCAGCCCATCTGTGGGAATTCCGTGTTGAACAAGAAAACTAATACAAATATTTTGAAGAGAAAGAAGGGTATTGATTTGAATGATTTAATAGCAAGCTTTATAAAAATACCTTATCAAACACATCGAGAGCTGGGGGAAAAAACCTGACAAGTAGACTAGTGGCAAGGTTTACTACCCCTGATATGTATTCAATAATTACACAGTACCTTCTGCATTTTCTGTTCCTAGAGCTTCTATATAATGTTGCTCATCAAGGAATACATTTTCATCCCCATCATGTTGTGCATCCTCTTTGGGCCGACGTCCAGCTGGCCTCTTAAACGAGACCATCTTCTGGACAGCCCCACTGCTGCTCGGGACACCTGTAGTTACACACACAAACGGACAGTAAAACAGAGGAGTTAGCCATCTGCTCATTACCAAAGACTGTGTATATATAATGCTCATAACACAACATATCTAAGCAGGATAGAGGTTAAGTGTTGTACATACCCTCCTGTTTGTCCACGATGTGCTCCAGAGCATCTCCATCACCAATGAACTTCACCTCCAACACACTCATGGCTAAAGAGAAATACAGTATAGAGTTTGACAGGAGCTAGCTAAAAGCTAACTAAGTTACAGTTCACACAAACTATACATTCAAACTCAATACAGACAGTACAGTGTGGTGTAAGTTACGTTAAATTAGTCTCGCTGTGGATTTACATGAATGTCTAGAAGAAAAACGGAACACGTACAGAATAAATATGTTCAAACTATGATAACTTACCAGAAAAAGAGTCACTGTCGCCCAAGGGAAATGTAAACAAAACTAATATAAACTGAGAGCTACACAGTGCAGTGTGACAACTTTCCGCGCCATCCTCCTGAAGTTTTTAAACCACGTGACAAGTGAAAGGTCATATGGTGGCCAATCAGAATGTAAGCTTTACTAAAAACCACATTTCCCAAGATGCACTTCGTACAGTGGTTCCCAAGCTCCTTGCTGCTGAGACGACAGCGTTTGATGATTATTTTCAACAAAAATAGCAAACACAACTAGTGAATAATGATACAAAATAATAAGGCGGCAGTAAACCACTGTTATAATACATATTGTTTTTTATATTGATTTCCTATTATAATTTTTAGACATATTTGAGATATTATTCAAGAAACTATTCAAACATGTTACTGGTTACATGTTACTTACAAAATAATAATTACAATTACAAAATAATTAGAAGTTGAAACCAAAAGTAATTTACGGAAAAAAAAAACACCATCAGTAATCAAGAGAAACAGTAGTCAGTGCACACTTTTTCATAAAAGAATACCATAAAAAGGTATTTATTAGTATCCCCAGTTAGATAACTAGATATCAATTACAAACAAAAAATTGTGTAAAAAACTCAATGAGTATGAAAAAAATACATGACACATCTAGGCTACACATATTGGAGATAAAAATCAAGCTATCACGTAGAGATAATAGGCTTACTGTAGCATCAGTGAAAGCCCAAAAACTGCCTGCTGGCATATGTTGCTGCCGTCTTGGTCTTAGAATGTTCACATGATGACTCATTTATAAACACTGCATTGATAGAATGATTAGGAGACAACATAGTGCTACAGCCTTTATTCATTTAAACACTTAAAAGCATAATACATGTGTTTATTTTTTCATCAAATTGCTTCACATACAAAACATTAGGGAGGTATGTCTACACAGTACGCAAAGTGTTATTAAATCAGTGGTTTTGGAAAATCTCTACACTTATATTCTGGAATTAATTACAAATGACATGATTGACAAGTTAGCTATCTGTTCACCACCCGCGTGTCGGGGTCCACTTGCCCAGCAGACGGCCCTCAGAGTGCACATGGTACACAGGATGCATCACTGCAGTTGCACACGACTGTGAAAACAAACAGAGACAGGGTCAACCCGAGCGAGACAAGAAACGGATAAGGCATTAAACTCTTCACTCATTGAAGTGTACTGACATGGTAGGGGATCAGTGTGAGCAGAGAGCCCAGGGGGAATTTACTGTAGTCCAGCGGCCCTGAGATGGGCTCCACTCGACCGTGCTCCTGGGTCATAGACAACAACCTAGAGGAGATATAACATTTTATATGAATAACTCATCCCATCTTACATTGAACAATTACGAAGAATAAGAAAAAAACTGAGAAAAATCGTGATTCATTTAAGTATATGGGGGCAGCACTTTACAACAGACAAACTATATCAAAACATCAATTTACCAACTTTCACACATCTTGTGCAGTTAAATATAAAGTTTAGTGTATGCAGCACACTGCTCACTACAAACAGATCAATTTTCGCTGCTAAAGATTGAATTGAAACAAATGTTTTAATATAGTTTTGCTGTTATTAAACACAGACCCATTTATTTTTCAATTCATCTAGACCAGGGGTCGGCAACCTTTTTGATATGCAGTGCCATTAAAAAAAAAAAATTGTTATCAGCGTGCCAACGATCGAGAATTATCAACGGGGGGGGGGGGGGGGGTTGAGGAGCTTGACGCTCGTGAACTATCAACAGGAGGGCGGGGGGGCCTCGCTGCGGGGAAGCAGTGTGTGGACCTGTCAGCGCAACTTACATGATGCCGAATTTAACCGTTCTGTGATTCTCCAGAACACACATGTTATGATATTAGGGTCATGCAGAGTGAGATGAGATCGCTGTCCCTTTAAGAGAGAGAGAGAGTGAGCGAGCGTGTGTATGTTTCTGGAAGTGAAACGAGGCAGCAGAAAAACAGAGGTCTGTGATGTATTTTGTGAAACAGAAGAACAGCTAAATAAATGCAACGGCCTCCCAAGAAGAGCTCGCCTCTCTCCAGTCATTTAAGCTAAAGCGGGTTATTGAACCTGAAGCTTGTTGCTTCTGCCCTCCTCGACTACGGTCTGGGAGCCGACAGGAAAGTTCAACACACAGATGGCCAGTCCGCCCCTTTGTAGCATATTATTTCAATGAGAGATGAGCAGATCGCCACTGGGCTTTCAACTAAAGACACAGCCACGCAAAAACTGCGGTATTTGTACAGCTCCTTATGGGTACTGCAATTTGTGAAGTGCTTTCCTCTGTGGTGAAACGATCAGCTCTGCACCACGGAGGAAAGCGGCAGAAAGTCACCTGGAGTTAAACAGAGCGGGGCTGCGCTGAGTGCATGGCTTCCTTCTGCAGGTAACGGGGAGACGCGCTCTGGCGGCGGTCTCGTTCAGGATCCGAAAATACAATTTAAATATTTTGCACACTTATTCCACTTATTCCTAGTGTGCCACTGGTTACGGTGCCGCCTGCCAATGCTGGCACGCATGCCAGGGGTTGCCGACCCCTGATCTAGACTTTTCTCTGTTTTTCGCATGTGAGAAAAAAAAAAACTTGTTTGCACTACACAAGGTTAACACAATGTGTGCTATTGACATATACATGGTCATTTTGTGGCATCCTTCTAAATTAGTATTAAGACTACAGAAAATAGTAGGTAGCTTCACTTGAGGTCTGGGTGTCCTTCAATCACAGCATATCCAGTGGGAAGTTTTCCAGCTCCGTCTAGACTGAGAGCAACAAGCAAAAAAGTGTTTAAAGAATATATGAAAACAATAGATACCCACAACGATGAAATAAAAACAACAGTAATGTAGTAGTGAGATAGAAATATGGTAAATGTATCTGCTTAAAGCGTTGAGCTAAACAAAAAAAGTACAAGCGACACTCGATTGACATATTCAAAAAAGTTCAACAATTATTCTCAATATTTCACCTTTATTCTCAAGATCCGAAGAGAGTATTGCATTATGTAATAGCCATAATGCTCTTCCATACAATTGAGGGGAAATACTTAAAATATATATATGTATTCATCCTTTTCCTAGCAACTTATGTGTGAAGTTTGACATCTTCAAAGTTAAGGTCATCTAAAAATGGAAAACAATATTGATAAAGGTACCTGAGTCCGCACCATCCACAGTCGATCAGGAGTTGGTTCCTGTGAGGACAGTGTCCGATGACTCTCGTCAGAACCTTCACAGCCACTTCCTCCAGAGTACACGAGCCAATCACAGACTGCTGCACGTCTACAACACAGAAAAAGAACATCATCATTTTTCTAGATTCACTAACTTCAATCAGAAAACAGCATAAACAAACTGGTACACTGACTCAAATACATAAATACACACCGTAGAATCCATAGTTCCCAGGATGCACCTCGCTGAGCTTCCCCATGTCTTTTACTGGGTGACTACAGGAAGGGGTGGAGCCAATGCTGGACTTACAGGTGATCCCAGAAGCCTTCAGTCTGAACAAAAGAAGAGAAGATCACAGAATGAATCAGAGCTGGATGATACATCTCAGTGAGCATTACCTTTTTCACAATTCATTTACACAGATAAATCATTTTTACAAATATTGATAAGAGCATCTTTAATATATCAAAGCTGAATTTTGAAATAGGTTGACGTTTTTTTAAGTAGTTGTATAAACCCAGTTTTTGATTTTTTGCAGGGAAAGTAAAGAACCTTTCTTATTATCTAAACTTTATTCTACTTTATTGTACAATCATAAAAAAAGAAAAGAAACTGTACTTCTTAAATACTAAAACTAGTATATGCCAGTGGACAGGTTATATGTATCTAATACCTAATATATATATATCATCATTCCAATAACTTGTATATAGACTCGTACTGCACTATTCCACATCATCACTTTATTTTATAACTATTTTTCTTTTTGTATTGCTCTTGCTCTTATTGTTATTATGTTATTATGTTGCATTGTTGGAGAAGCCTGTGACATAAGATTTTCAACTACATAATTACTCTGTAGCTATGTCAGATTGACAATAAAGAACCTTGAACCTTGAACCTTGAACCTTGACATGTTTGGCCTTTAATTGCATTTTACCATATTTTTTATGCCATACTTTTCCATGAATTGCAGAGTCAGGTCAGTGGTTTCCTGGGCGACGGCCTGAATCTGCTCCACTCCTCTGCAGTTATAGCTGTTCCCACAGTGAGCGTACACTCCTGTTAGCTCCACACCTTTCGTCCCAACGATGGCCTGAGCCAACCTGATCGCCTCAGGCTGCGAGTGCAGGACCCCAGCTACGCAGATGACAAACAGAAGATCAGCTGACACTGACCTACCACATTTCAGCAGTTATTGATGAGCCGTGTCCTGGTTGTTCTGTGTGTTTACCTCTCCCATTACCACAGTCCAGTTTGAGCCAGACGTGCCACAGCCGACCGTCTCTCAGGGGTCTCTTTTTGAGCTCATCCAGAGCATGAGGATGATCCAGTAAAATCTGGAAGAGATCCAGCCTCTCTGAGAGGTCGGCACAGCGCTCCACCTGTCAGCACGCACACACAGACATACGTTAGTGTGAGTGTGAGATGTCAAAGATAATTGGAATCAGAATCAGAAATATTTTATTTATCCCCATGGAGCAAGTGGATCTACTAAAAGTTGCTCCATTTTAGAATACAATAAAATAATAATCTCTTATACATACCTAAATAAATGAAAAAGTGCACATTGTACTAAGATGTAAAACAACAGTGAATAAGTAAATTACGTATTTTGAAATATACAGTACTGTAAACATATTAATAAAGATATTCTTTATAAAGCAAGAACATTGCTTGAAATGTACAGTGTAATACAGTAAGAAAATAAATGCAAAATAAATCAAATGTGTGATTGTAATGTCCTGCATGTTGATATTAAACATAAAATGTATGAGTTGGAAGGCAAAAAGTCCTATCATTCACAATATGTGCTTTCGATGCTCTGACAAGTAAAGTATATTCCCAATCTAATACTTCATACTTTTAGAAAACATACAGTACTCCAGTTAATTTGCAAGATATTAACTTAACCATTTGTGCAAACTGTGACTTTTGTCCATAAAATATATATCATTTTCTATGTTTGTCATTGAATAGGTGTCAGCTGTTTCAGCAATGTTTTAATTATATGTAGATGTAAGCACCTCCCCAATTACCCATGTGTACAGTATAGACATTTCCACACATAGTAGGAATAGGTTTAATTTATAACTTGACAATGGCTCAGTTTACAGTGAATACCGGGACTCTGAAACTGAAACAAGCGACTAAATAGATTGAATTAAAACCTTTTTATCATGTGCTTTTCCAATTGGAGCTGTCAAAATGTCTTCATAGCGTGTTAAGTTATATTACTTTATGTAGTTATGTAGCTATAGTTTGCATTTACAGTACATTCTTAATCAAGGGGATTTGAAGATGCACATTTATTTTTATTTTATTAATTGTTGTCACTTTTCAAATATTTAAAAAACACTACAGTTACTATACAACTGGTCTTTATGAGTGAGTTGAGATGACCTTATCAAAGGGAAGAGAGTATGCATAGAGGATGTCATCAAACCCATGGTCGGCATAGAAACAGGCCTCTGCCAGTGTGGAGACCACGATGCACCTCCGTGATCCACCTGTCATGATGTCAGCACACTCACTGCACATAAACACAGATACACACACACAGCATCCATTACATGTGACTGGTTTGTGTAAATGTACTGTTTAAGTGTGTGTCACTGCGCCTATTATCATACAGGGTTTTATGGGTCTTCATGTGGGGCCGAAGCTGGACCCCCAGATTCTGACAGCGCTCGATCATCCTCTGGGCATTTCTCTTCACTTTGTCCACATCCACCACCAGAGCGGGGGTGCACAGAGAGGAGAGGGCCTTCTCTTTCATACTGGCAGCACTTCAACACACACAAATACACAAAAAGAAGAAACACACACACACACACACCAGATCCTGTGCAATTAAAATCTTATGCAAGACTGGTTTGGTTTCCAATCAGATACTAAGTGACAGTGACACTATTCATAAAACATGCACTGGTATACATATCAGAGAAAGTATACGAGTGCATAGGCACAGAAAGTCATTTAAACGCTCTGTGCTGTTTGCAAATACGTTACGTTGTTATACGTTTAACTGGTGGCGCGGGGAACTCGTGATATTCTATAACGGTATGTGTCAGGGCAGGGCCATAGACTGGTTACTGAATATCGTTCTTAATGTGATACCAACAGTGGCGACTGGTCATTAGGGGCAGGCACAGCCCCACCTAGTGTCAGCAGAAAGTATTAAAAATAATGATTACAAAAAAATAAAAAATAAAAATAAAAATAATAATAATAAATATATAAAATATATGTTAAGATCATGTTTAATCATCTGATTTGTGTGTACATTGCTGTTTTAGTCTGTGTTCTTCTAATTAGTGTCTACAGTGTGCCTATTGATCCGTTTTGAGCCATGTGGGACAAAACCCGTCACACTGTCTAAAGTGAATGGTGACTGTAAAAACTACACTGCGCATGCTCAGAGTATTTTTCTATTTAATGTGTGTGGCAAAGAAATAATGACCATAGGGGCACTGAGCTGCCATCCCCACCATACGTCATCTCACATAATTCAGAACTGATTGGCTGTAAATACGTGTGCCGCGAAAAGTGTAGTGTGTGAAGAGGAGAGAGGTGCAGTGACGCATCCTAAAACCCGGAAGTAAGCTGCGCATGGGTTCCCTCCAAGCCCCCAGGAAGTGCGCCGGACTCAGATGAAAATATTCGTGGTGGCCAAACGGCGGTACTACATTTCCGTTTGGTTGCCAGGCCCGGAAACACTTTTTCCCATTGACTTACATGGGGAAAGAGTGGTCTGTAAATCGTTGGATACTTTTTTTTAAACTAAATAAACTACCCAGTATGAACACTTGTATAGCCCTTATTAAAAACATTCGTTCCTCAAGTTGTAAAAATGTGCTAATAACGTTATTCTGAGAGTTATTTCCCTCTGCATTATGAACATGCATCTAACCCACGGGACCGCGCCGCCCGGCACGTTCATGTTACGTGTTCAGTACATATACATATACTATACTATATGTATATATATATATATATATACTATATACATATGTTCATTTAGAAATAGGCCTATTATATTTACAGCCCTTAATAACATTCATTTTCTGGGCTCAAAGTGTGTCTTGGCCGTTTTCATTGTGATCGCTAAATTCCCCTTGTTTATAATAATCACAGTTCCTTCAACAGGATACTGTAAGGATTCAAAGTGTGATTTTAGCATAGCCTACGAGTGCTTTTGTTTTGAAATCACTTCCGTGAGTTTCGTCTGCGCTCTTATTTTTGTTCTCAGCAGGGGACTTTGACAGAGGATTTCTCAAAAAGTAAAGAGTAAAATTACTTCAATGTATTGTAGTAGTAGGCTAACTAATACAAAGTCAAACAGTATCAATTTCATTAAGAACTAATGGTAAAATTGTCTTTTTATCACTCATCAAAGATAGCAGATAAACATACATTATGTAGGCTACTATGGAGGGGACTCTGACAGAGGATTACTCAAAAAGTACACAGTAAAAGTACTTAATTTCTGGTAGCAGTCAAACTACCGAGTCCAACAGTGTCAGTTTTATTAAGAACTTTTGGTAAAAAACTCTAGAGTATGTTTGTGCCACAAGTGGGACAGAGCTGTCCCACTTGTGGCTTTCTGGCACCATGGTCACCTCAGCCGTCTCTCGAGTTTGATTTTTCAAATCAGCTGCTCTTCATTTTTTCCCCTGCTATATTCAATGAGTGATACAAATATTTTTGTCCACAAGTTCTTAATAAAACTGACACTGTTGGACTCTGTACTAATTTGACTGCTACTGTTACACCACTCAGACCGCAAGGGTATTATAGGTGTAGAAAACTTTCATTTATTAACTTCCACAAGGCACATGTGCAAGATGTCAGCATCTCAAACGATCTCAAAGCACAACACACAGACACACTTCTTCTGTTCATCTCCAGCATAAAACAATGATGAACCATCAGGTGATCTGCCCCCTTGTGGTATAAACATGCATGTGCAGGTAGACAACCTCAACCTTATGGGTGCTACACTACCAGAAATGAAATGAAGTACTTTTACTGTGTACTTTGTGAGTAATCCTCTGTCAGAGTCCCCTCCATAGTAGCCTATCCAGGCCAGTCTCTAAAGAAGTTCCAAGGTGTAAAAATGCTGCTGCCGGAGTACTGACTGGAAGTATTGCTGATATCATGTCTACCATCCTCTTAAAATACTCTGTCCAACAATATCAGTCTCAGGAAGAAATGTTTTTTAACGCTTATTAAAAGAAAAACATGCATTCTTGTACTCGGGAGGGTACAGAGGATTACTGGAAAAGTACACAGTAAGTACTTCATAGTAGCTACTTGTGGGGGTAGTTTCAGTAGTACTGAGTCCAACAGGATCAATCTCACAAAGAACTAATGGCAACAAAAAATAATTCCCTCATCAAACTTAGCAGAAGTGGCTTGATTTTGTTCTCAGCAGGGGACTTTGACAGAGGATTTCTCAAAGTACACAGTAAAATTACTTCAATGTATTGTTAGTAGTAATATCCTTCAGCAAAGTAACACACTGTCACTCTGGTTGCCCTCTTATGATGCTGCTGTCTTTTAATATATAACTATTTCTCAGCCGCTAATTCGTTCCTCGCAGATTCTTCAGTCTCATCAGCCTCATCCTTCTATCAGTCCCAGTCAACGCCTCCAGCACACTTCCAGTGTCTGACTCCATATGATATTGTCCTGATGCTGTAAGGGTGATGCCCCATGATCACAAAATGTGTGCCAAGGACCTCATATTATGTCTGTCATTAATGTTACATCACCCATTATAACAGTTTTCTTTCCTTTTTTCTCTGAATAGTCCTGTCTTTAAGTATAATACAATGTAAAGTCCTTTTCCTGCACCATTTTAAGGCTTCAAAGCCAGCCATTTTTACTGTATGAGTTTGGAGAAATGACACAATCAATGGCCCAGAATTGTACTTTATAAACTATGAATCTTGTGGTGCTTGAAAAAATACACACTGGCTAAGCCGGCCAGGATATATGCCTTTTTTTGGAGCCCTTTTTTGCAATATTTATAAAAATGTCACTAGTTATTTAAACAAACCCCTATCTGAGGATAATACAAGCAACCATAAAACGCCCTTTATCTAGAGAGCCATTGAAGCCCATGAAGAATGTATCCTTCCACAAATCTTTTCATCTGCTGTATTAATAAAGCTGCCACGTGTTTTCAAATTCAAGTTAAGGCACTATCTGTGCAGAACATTACAAATATTCTTAATTTGCAGTATTTTATTTGTAAAAGTGTTCAGAAAGACTGCATCAAATATGCTATATCTATATATCTATATCATATCAATATTGTTATTAACTTCAATCAAAGTCAATTTAAATAGCGGGCAAGACTTTCCAAGGGGTAAATATGCTGCTGCCGGACTACTGACTGGTAGTATTGCTGATATCATGTCTACCATATCCTCTTAAAATACTCTGTCCAACAATATCAGTCTCATGAAGAAAGGTGTTTTAACGCTGATTCAAAATAGCAGAGAAACATGCATTCTTGTTCTCAGGAGGGGACATTGACAGAGGATTACTCAAAAAGTACACAGTAAGTACTTCATAGTACTTGTGGGAGTAGTTATACTACTAGCCTACTGAGTCCAACAGGATCGATCTCACGAAGAACTAATGGCAGAAAAAAGTATAACAAACTCGAGAGACGGCTGAGCTGACCGCAGTGCAGAATCGCTGTATAGTTTAAATCTCCTAACAATGTTGTCCATTTTAGACATAGGCCTATTATATTTACAGCCCTTAATAACATTCATTTTCTGGGCTCAATATGTGTCTTGGCTGTTTTCGTTGTGAAAACAAATGGACCGTAGATACACGGATTGACCGTCCTCATCTGCGCTCTTATTTTGAAAGACAACTTCCGGTAGTAGAATATGAAAAAACAGGGTTTTTTTTTGTTTCTGTTTTCTAGTGATTTTATTTTTTGTTTTGAGAAGTAGAAAATGAAAATCATCCCGTTTTTTAAGTTTAGTAAATCCCTTTTTGACCGTGATAAAGAAAAACGCCTTGTATTTCAATTTTGGTTTTTCAATTTGAAAACGAAAATCAAATATCCAGTCGTTTTTTGTTTTTGAATTTCCATTTGTGAAAAGAAAATCCAATGACCAAAACATACACTGACCGACCCAGTGCCTCACCAGCCATGAACCTCACTGCAGAAGCTTATATATAATCATCTACGTTTTTTGTGCCCCACCACTTTTGTACATATAAAAACGCCACTGGATACCAAGTCCATCTGAGACCTGTGTACACCTTCAGACAGCCTACAAGTGAAGCACACGTAGTTTACTCACAGTTTGAAAGCAGCGTGGAGAAGTCTTCAGCTGTGGAGCTGTGATCCGCCCAGGTTAAATTGTGATACGACTTCTGTTCTGTTGCTATCTACCAGCGATCCTTATCAAAACGGTATTCTGCACTTTGCAGCACTTATCCAGATAAGATGTGACAGTTTACTTGGTTAACTTTCGTTATGCATCGATACAGCGACACAAACCGAATGACGAGGATACTCACATACGTTGAGAACTACAAACACATATATTCATAATTGTTACTCTGCTGTGAACATGTTTTCGTTTCTATCTTAACGTTTATGTTTTTATCTTTGTGGTATTTTTTCTTATATTTTGTATCTATTTCTGTGTAACTTGGTAATATTAATATGAATTCCTTGTTATTGTTGTCTTTCCATCTGTCGGTGATGATTATACTACATAACGAAACACATGGCCTGATTTGTATATTTTATATTTATATTATATAACTTAATGTGTGCACTGGAATACATTTATATGTAGAATGACCTCTTATCAAAACATAATGTGGGCTCGCAGGCTGATAAACTAGGATATCTGATCTCGGTGGGTCTATTGAGGCTTGATACAGACCTCAGTCAGTATACTATTTAAAAGCAAATGCCTACTATAATATGTATATTATATGGCTTAAAGTGTACATAAATTCGCTCACATTATAAATGATGGTTGGGTTGCATTTTTCTGAATCTTTTAACAATGTTAATGTGTGAAATTGAGCTGTGATGAAATAAGATGTCATTGATTCGTGGCTCACTCACAACGCGCAGGACTTTTTGCTGTTGGGACTTGGGTTTGAGTCCAGCATGAACTTTTTAGTTATTTTCATGTCGATAGACACTGAATTATAATTTTGAATAGAGGATTATTGAAGAATAATATTGTTTGCGGAGACCAAAATGAATGACCAAGCAGCATTTTAAAGGAGAGGTGTCATGCTTTTCCGGTTATTACCCGTCCCCTTGTGTGTTATGAAGGTTTTTATGCATGTAAACGGTCTGCAGAGTCACAAACCCTCAAAGTACACCCTGTAGCGAGTAAAACTCTAACACAGAAAATACCTCCCCAAAACGCCTCGTTGGAGATACGTCATTGTCCATTTGATTCTTCCATTTCGTTCCGGGTAAAAATAAAAGGGATGATAGCTCATATATGAGACTTCAAAGATCTTTTATTTTGAAAATCTACATCAGAATGTCCTGATCTTTTCTGAGTGACTAGTTGGTCACTACCCTGGAGTGAAATGAGTCTTTTATACTGGAGAGTTTTTGTTTTATTCTTATCTAAAAACAGAGGGATGATAGCTCATATATGAGACTTCAAAGGTCTTTTATTTTGGAAATCTACATCAGAATGTCCTGATCTTTTCTGAGTGACTAGTTGGGGTGTCCTGCTATCACCCTGGAGTGAAATAAGTATTTGATACTGGAGAGTTTTTGTTTTATTCTTATCTAAAAACAGAGGCATGATAGCTCATATATGAGACTTCAAAGGTATTTTATTTTGAAACTCCTTAAGTTTTACATTCACTCATTTATAATGTGGTAGTTATACGTAGTTTGTTTTAAATAATGATTGATCACATTATATAGTACATATTTCTTAATTTAATATGTTTGGTATGTTTTTTAGGTGTATTTGTTATTGACCGAGTAAGCGCTTTTAATTTGAAGGCAGTTTTTCCAGGACTCTACCGTAATGCATAGGATATTCGCGCACCGCAATATCACGTGCGGGCTGGCTTGACTGCGTTTTCCCAAGTGGAGGCTGGCTTGACCGCAGTGGATATCGGCATCGCAACCACAACCTCACACACTGGTACTGAATGTGCATCAAAGTGTACCTATCCAGCCAAATATACCAAGCGATCGACATGTGTATTTCCTGGTTATTCGACAATGGCTCCTCAAAGTACACGCCCCTGACACATTCCTACAGTTATAGAATATCACGGGTTCCCCGCGCCACCAGTTAAACCGTAACAACGTAACTTGTAATGTATATAAATACATACAGTATGTAAATACATACATTAGGTAAATATGTACATTTACATACATTACAAGTTACGTAACGCATTTGCAAACAGCACAGAGCGTTTAAATTGAACTTTTTGAGAAATGTATCAAATGTTTTTTTTAACGTAGCAAACTTTATTAATCCTCCCATTTATATCAAAGCAGATTTAGCATTGAGCTAGCAATTATCAATATAAATGGCTTACCAATCCGTGTATCCACCGTCCATTTGTTTTTCTTTATTAAACAAGTAAACGGAAGAGCGTCTGAGAGGCCTTTTTGCTTTTTACCTTACTAAATGGTCTAAAGTTCAGACCATAGACCAGGGGTCGGCAACCTTTTTGATATGAAGTGCCATTAAAAAAAAAGATTGTTATCAGCGTGCCAACGATCGAGAATTATCAACGGGGGGGGGTGGGGGTTGAGGAGCTTGACGCTCATGAACTATCAACAGGAGGGCGGGGGGGCCTCGCTGCGGGGAAGCAGTGTGTGGTCCTGGTTTAAACGGCATAATAATAAGGACGATCGTCCGTTCTGTGATTCTCCAGAACACACATATTATGATATTAGGGTCATGCAGAGTGAGATGAGATCGCTGTCCCTTTAAGAGAGAGGGGTGTGGCGTGTGCATGTGTGTGTGTGGATGGTAGAGCGAGAGTGAGCGAGCGTGTGTATGTTTCTGGAAGTGAAACGAGGCAGCAGAAAAACAGGTCTGTGATGTATTTTGTGAAACAGAAGAACAGCTAAATAAATGCAACGGCCTCCCAAGAAGAGCTCGCCTCTCTCCAGTCATTTAAGCTAAAGTGGGTTATTGAACCTGAAGCTTGTTGCTTCTGCCCTCCTCGACTACGGTCTGGGAGCCGACAGGAAAGTTCAACACACAGATGGCCAGTCCGCCCCTTTGTAGCATATTATTTCAATGAGAGATGAGCAGATCGCCACTGGGCTTTCAACTAAAGACACAGCCACGCAAAAACTGCGGCATTTGTAAAGCTCCTTATGGGTACTGCAATTTGTGAAGTGCTTTCCTCTGTGGTGAAACGATCAGCCCTGCACCACGGAGGAAAGCGGCAGAAAGTCACCTGGAGTTAAAGAGAGCGGGGCTGCGCTGCGTGCGGGGAGACGCGCTCTGGCGGCGGTCTCGTTCAGGATCCGAAAATACAATTTAAATATTTTGCACACTTATTCCACTTATTCCTAGGGTGCCACTGGTTACGGTGCCGCGTGCCAATGCTGGCACGCGTGCCAATGCTGGCACGCGTGCCAGGGGTTGCCGACCCCTGCCATAGACTGTATATATAACGTAGGGTCCGTGACGTCACCCATAGGATTCTGCAGAGTTGCCGAGAAGCCCTTAGTAGGCGGAGTCGGCCACTAACGGCTCGACAGTGACGTCTGAGTCTAACTCCCGCCTGCTCCAGCCTGCTCCAAATAAGGGCAAAGAGGCGGAGCCGAGGCGGGACCTTCTGCCTCCAGCTGGGAAGTAGAGATGGCAAATCCGGATCATTTTACGGACTCAGGGTCTTCTGAGTCAGTCATTGAAGAGATCCGGATCATACGAGTCATTTGAGTCATATGAGTCATATGAGTCAGCATGACCAAGACCGTAGAAATCCTATTGGTGAAACCGAAAAGTTGTTGCATTTCACGAGCATATTATTATTCCATATATTTTGAATATATGGATATATATATATATATATATATATATATATATATTACCGGTGCCCCTCAAGGCTGCGTGCTCAGCCCTCTCCTCTACTCCCTGTTCACCCACGACTGCGTGGCCACACACAGCTCCAACACCATCGTGAAGTTTGCTGATGACACGACCGTCATCGGCCAGATCACAGACGATGACGAGACGGCGTACAGAGAGGAGGTCGAAAACCTGACATCTTGGTGCCAGGAGAACAACCTCCATCTCAACATCAGCAAAACAAAGGAGCTGATTGTGGACTACAGGAAGCAGCAGGGAGAGGGACACGCCCCCATCGCCATCAATGGGACTACGGTGGAGAGAGTCAAAAGCTTCAGGTTCCTTGGGGTCCACATCACTGAGGACCTGACATGTTCTCTTCACACCACCACCATCACCAAGAAAGCTCGACAGCGGCTCTTCTTCCTCCGCAGGTTGAGGAGGTTCAAAATGGATTCCAGGATACTCTGCAACTTCTACAGGTGCACGATAGAGAGTATCCTCACTGGCAGCATGACGGCCTGGTACGGCAGCTGCACCGACCTCGATCGTAAGGCTTTACAGAGGGTGGTGAAAACTGCACAGCACATCACCAGGACGGAGCTGCCATCCATGGAGGACCTTTACTCCCAGCGGCTCAGGAAGAAATCACTACGGATTATCAAAGACCCCCATCACCCCAGCCACAAACTGTTCTTTCTGTTGCCGTCTGGCAGACGTTACCGCAGCATCCTGGCAAGGACAAGAAGATTCGGAGACAGTTTCTTTCCGCGGGCAGTGAGACTGTTAAAAAATTGAACTGTTGAAACAACTTCAAACATTCAACTGCTACTCAGTAGTATGTATCTAATACCTAATATATATATATCATTCCAATAACTTGTATATAGACTCATACTGCACTATTCCACATCATAACTTTATTTCATTTTTATAACTATTATTATTTTTGTATTGCTCATGCTCTTATTGTTATTATGTTATGTTATTATGTTGCATTGTTGGAGAAGCCTGTGACATAAGATTTTCAACTGCATAATTACTCTGTAGCTATGTCAGATTGACAATAAAGAACCTTGAACCTTGAACCTTGAACCTTGATATATATATATATATTTGTATATATATATATATATATAATATCTGCATGTATATTTTCTATTTCGACATGTATATTTTATATTTTATATTTTATTTTATTTTTATTTCTATTCTTGTATATTTTGTAGTTTTGTTTTATTGTAAAATGCCTTATGCTGCTGTAACAACAACAATTTCCCAATTTGGGATCAATAAAGTACTATCTATCTATCTATCTATTAAACTGACGTTATATTAACCTCCGCTACACAGTGTATTTTGCTTTAATAAAAAATGTTGATCACAAAAAAAAGGGTTATTTTGCGATTTGGCAAATCTGAGTCTGCTGTTGACTCGTGCATGAGGACGAGTCTGCTGGATCTCTGGATCTGCTGCTATATACGGCTCCGAGTCCGCACGAGTCTGCTCTGCTGTGTGTTGCACACACAGTGAGTCAGGATTTGCGAATCCGAGTCTGCTGTGGACTCGTGCATGACGGACGAGTCTGCTGGATCTCTGGATCTGCTGCTATATGGTTACGGCTCCGAGTCCGCACGAGTCTGATCCGCTGTGTGTTGCAGCGAGTCAGGATTTGCGAATCTGCGAATCCGAGTCTGCTGTGTGGACTCGTGCATGACGACGAGTCTGCTGGATCTCTGGATCTGCTGCTATACGGTTACGGCTCCGAGTCCGCACGAGTCTGATCCGCTGTGTGTTGCAGCGAGTCAGGATTTGCGAATCTGCGAATCTGCGAGTCTGCTGTTGGAGCCGTCGGCTCCTCTGA